ATAAACGTTGAGATAGTGAGAAAAGCAGTACCACTTATCGACGAGGATCCACATCATCCCTCGTTAATAGTTTTTCTCCGAGCCGCTTTTCCACGCGTCTCTAATTTTCGAATCAATAGGTACGATCAAACCGAATTTAACTTTAGGAAGGCCAACTATATTATGCAACAAGTGCGGTAAACGGCATTTGACTCACGAGTTTATTTGACATGTACGGAGCGCAGCGGTGTGACTTAAAAAGTTTACCGAACGTCTTGCTTACTATACTTTTTCTACGACCGTTAGTTTCTGAATACATTTTCGCAAAACAACACTAATACATTCACTGACATGACCTGCAGAACTGACAGTCAAAATTCAAGGCGTGGGAAATATCTCCGAAACTGACGTGGTAAAGTGACGCTTCCTGCACGCTAGATCGGTGTGTAATTAGGTATTTTACAGACGGGATTAGAAAAATAATATTTTGTTATATGCTATTCACAAAAATGTTTTCGAAAGAAAATTTTCTTGCCAAAATTTGAATCATGCATATGAAATGACAATCGACAAAAAGGAACAAGAACGGCACCTAGTCAGTTGCGATTAAACAAGCAAGGTAGGATTTACCTTGCGCGTCGATACAGATGTAATTCGTCAAGTAGAATCCGAGAAATTTTGAAAATATCTGAAGGTTTAACGAATTTTGGAGAATTCGACAAACCTACGAAACCTTTCGAAGAGAACACACGTGTCCTGTTGAACTTGAAAAAGACGAAATTATTTTTAAAGAGGTATATTGTTGCTAAATAATAGATTTCTTTTAAATTAAAATATTCGACAGATCATGGTGACTCGTGAAACAACATCTCAGAATTGAATCGGCGAGTTGTGTATTTGCTGACAATCCGAACCTGCTCCGTTTAAATCAACAATTTTCGAAACTGTCCTCGCGTAAGGCCTGGTTGAATGGATATTGTATTTGTCGAACCCCTAAAGGTTAAAGATTTGGATCATTTTGGAAGATACATAGGCCGCGCTTTTCGAAACGGACAGACGTGCCCTTGTTCAACTTGATAAAGGATAAGAAGGATAAAGAAAAGGTATATTATTTGTATTAAAATAGACAATTTTTTAAGTAAAATATTTGACAGACCATGCCAACTAGTAAAACAGAATCCAAGAATTCAATCGGCGGTTGTGTGTTTACTGACAAGAATATAATTGCTGTTAATCCGGCCCTGCTTCGTGTACAAATGCATAGCTGCGAGACATAAAAATTTTTCGAAATTGCGGACCTATCTTCTTGGGAGTCTACGTTGGACCAATTCTGAAAACGACCCCAGAAATATAATTGGCGAGAAAATAGTTTTTTTTTTGTGTCAACAGTTAACAATTTTTTATTTTGGAAATAAGGGGTTTCAGGATGTACAGGAATTAGTAAATCAATTTAATGGCCTCAGCTCTTTAAACCCCCATCTTGAGACGCGTTAACTATCCGGATCGAGTTAAGTGGAGTAAGTATGTCACGTTTTTCATAAGAAAATTGAAGGAGATGTACCTACCATACTTTAGGAGCCCCTACTCCCATTTAGAGGTGATGAAATAAGAGCCAAAATCTTGTAATTATGAAGTGGAAAATGAAAAACAAGTTTTGGCATAAAATGTAAGTTTCTCATTTTACTTGATACGATAAGTACAAGACTTGCCTCGTTATTCTTAAGGAGGTTTAAAGCGGTGCGAGGTGAGCTTTCATATATGAAACAGACCAGTCGATGGGGACACGAGATATGGAAAGTTTGATCGTACTTGTCGCCACATTGCTTCCAAAACCGCATATATAAGGAATCCCGAACCATTCAGGTAAAATTTTGAAAACACATATTTATGAAAATGTAGAACCTCTTTTTTTACAGGGATATTGAGACGTAGACCAGTATCTTTTTAAGTCGGAATTTGGGGTAAAGAAGACGCAGAAGCTCCAGTCGGGTACCATCGGCAACGTAGGCGACTGATATATTTCCACCACTACATATGTTTCCACTGAAAAGTCTTCCCTTGATTGGATTGTAATTTCCTATTTGATGGTGTTGACTGACTAAATAAGAAAACTTGAAGGTAACCTCTTACAGAACGCTATGGAAATATGTTTAGGAACATATATACTCTGTCCTCCAGTCAGTTTCACATAAACTTTGCACTTATTATAGGAATGTCACCTACTTTTTTGTGTTAATAGTATTGAAAGTAGTAAGTGGTAGCTGAATTCATAGTCCAATGTTAGTAATATGGGTGGACTTTCGAATATCGCCTCCCAGAGGGTGTCTGTTTTGAACATAATACACAAAATGGACGTTCAATAACTCTCATTGCTTAGACTGGATGGTTTTTAGAGTGGGTGTAAACTATGGTCATATACCGTGATCAAATTCAGAACTAGAAAATCGTTGTGTCAGTGAATTACAAATAATAATAAAATTTATTGTAGGCACCTAGTAAAGTCTCGAAAATTTCCATTTTTGGTGCCAAATTGGTTACTCCAGTAAGTTCCAACTGTTCTGATTTTTTAAAATACTTTATGATGTTAGTGAGTTTCATTTCAATTATTTGTTACTTAAATTTTCTGCGTATTAAACCTTACTTAACAATACGCTATTCGTTATCGCAGGTAGAATTAATGCCACTGACTAACCTGTTTTTGTCCGGTTGGGGAGGGGGGGGTAGTTTGGTAGTGTGCTATCATTTATAAAACTGGGGAAAGTTTCGATGTCTTCAAATCGTAAACACATTTCATTAGAATTATATTTTTAAAATATTGATTAGGACATGTACTGCACTAACTTAATATTCATACACATTGCGGAAAACGTACAAATTTATATTAGAGAAAATTAAATAATTTTAAAGGTTGGTTTTTCAAAAGGTGCAGATTTAGTTAAAGAACAGATATAGACTAAAGGGAGGCACTATAATAAATATTAGAATTAAAAAATCGATGTTTTCGTGTCATAGCGAAAGATGAATTATTATTAAAAATAATAGTTGCATTAATTGTGGTCACCATTTGTGAAAAGTATGGAAAATATCCGCTAGGTTCGCATACCTTTTTACAAAATCAAGTATTTAAGTAAATTGGTAAATTATTTTTTAATGTGGCTAACAAAATACACAGACAGAAAAGTTCAGATACTGTTCGTTAATGTAGCGCATAAAAAATTAGAAAAGAGAACGATTCGTGTATGGAATACGTAGTTCGTACGGAATATTAGTCTGAATGTTGCAAAACAGTGAAGGAGTGTTGCGCTAAGTGTGGTTCAGAGAGGCTATTTGGTCTGTAGAAAGTTTTTCTTTGAACGGGGTTCAAATAGCGTCTCCTAGAGCGTTAGCAGAGAAGGGTATTACAGTATTTAGCATGAGCGTTCAGATTTCATTGTTGTCGAGATTGTCACAGAAACACACTTTCATGTAGTAGTAGCAGCAGCTTTAAAGTATACGACTTTTTAGTTAAGATGCCTTTCGAGTTTGCTTCATGGGTTGATAGGAGATTAGAGTGTAGATACAGATAAGTTACGAAAAAAAAAGTATATACACTATCCTCAAGGATCAGCAATAAATAAAACAAATTGATGAAATAGTAAGGTTAACTGAGAAATTTTAAAATCATCAATAAGATAGATAAATTAATTTTGAAAATATTAAATAATAAAAAAATAGCAAAGAAAACCAAAATCATCAATAAGATATCTATTTAATCTATTTATCTAAATTAATTTTGTAAATATTGAATGATAAAAATAAAATTAAAATGGCAAAGAAAACCTTAATGTCCATATTTTTAACCACGGCCAAATACACATATGTTCGAAATAGGAACTTTTCCCAGATAAATAGTCAAATATTTCAGGGTACCTTAAAACAGAAGAATGCGGAAATATTTATGAAGTTAACGCACGGTAGATGGCCTAGTAAATTAAAAAAAATGTATATGGTTTCTAATATCCTACTTTATTAATGAAAATTTTAACCATGTTTTTGTTTTGCAGATATTATTGGTGGTGAGAGCCAGCTTCCAGTTCCGAAAAAATAAATCCAATACCTTTCGTGTTTATTTCCCCCTGTCCTTGTGCGCAATAGCAAAAAGTACAGTTAGTACCCGCGAGGGTAACATTCGCAGAACTTTATGTTTTTAAAATAAATGTTTTGGTCAATATTCATTCACTAAGTTGCCTACTTGTTCTCGCCTAAAATCATTTGTTATTAATATGAATTGCCAAATTTTAATTAAAACAAGCGGAATGGCGTTGAGTACAGCCGTCCATAAAATTATGTGCTATTCTGACTAGAAAATACCATTTTAAATTTTTTTCTCACATTCCAAAACTGACTTTTCTGAGAAACTTTGAAATAATAACCAGTTTTGTTACAAATTGAAAGTGTGAAAAACCTATTTTTCTAGGTACCGTAATTCTTAAGTTGTGATTTTTTCAAAATTCAAACTTCAATCTATTTATCTGAATCTATCTGAAATAATTATTTTGATAAAAACTTAGCACACTTCCAACAAATGCAGCATTGAACTGTCCGCTTACTTGATTCCAAGCTGTCTCTTTATGCTTTAAAAAGTTCATATCTGATCTTTTGCACTGTATAATGTGTTTATACTTATTGCAAAGTTTTATTAATATTTTCTCTGATTTGAGGAAGTTCTTTCCTTTAATAATCTCGCTTCTTTTCATAACTACACTTATCACTCATGAAAGAATAAAAGAAGACAAGACATAAAGCTCGAAGATTGGGCCCCAAAACTAATAACTAAATCATAAAAAAGCAATTAAACCGGTCGTCGCTAGAAACAAAAAATAGAAAAATTCAGGTTATGTTGCAGTCCGCTGATTGTTTTTCACCAAAGATAAAATGGAACCGCCAAGACATTAAGCCCAAGCAACTTTAGTCTAATCCAGGGTTTGATAAACCGAGGAGAAGTAGGTGCTGAGAATCAGAACTAAAAAGTAATACCCAGTTAGTTAACCACGAAAACCTACCCGCACTGACCCAGGAAAGCGTCTCTCGAGATTTTGACTGGCAGCGGACCGAATTAAAGCAAAACAAGAAGAGACATTTTGGCCGAATGATTCAGTCCATATATCTCCAATAGAAGTGATAAAAAACATACCCTCCTAACCTAAAAAAATCTATATATATATTTTTACTAGTACATTATGTTTTTGCATAAAATTTGTTGGGCTGTATAATTCGTGATAACAGTGCAAAAAACTTTTTGAGCTAGTAAATATTAAGAATCCTTTAAATTATTCTTTTTAATGGCGACTCTAACTTCATGGAAGGAAGGTAAGCATTTAATAATATATTTTATTGAAATTTTTGTTAATTGTGTTAAAGGCACCACAAGCAAAAATGAGTCGTCCAACGCCTTGCGCATTATGGTATGTCAATGCCTTAAGTTTATATGTTAATAATTGTTTAAACAATTTAGCAAAAAATGGGTTACATATATGGATCTGGATTGGGCAAAAACAAACAGGGAATTACACAAGCTATAGACCTGATCCCTAATTTGGGTAGACGTGGTTTTGGTCATGTAATAAACGACTTAGATTTTTCGGAGGAGACTTGGGATTTTAGCGAAGATGATGTAGAGGTTCAGGAAAACTTGCTTTGGCTTGAGTCTGAAAATAAAAGTTTGCATGAGAACACTTTGAACAGCTGGTTAAAAGATGGTAAAAGCAACCACAGTATTGATAGTACCTTCTGTAATGCACAAATATTGGCTGATGTTTTTGAAGCTAAAGTAAGTAGACAGAATTGCTTTCCATGTATCATTTTTTCTTTTCATTTTTAGACCATATTTGATCAGTTAGATTTACTAGAGCTCTCTAGAGCTAGGGCCAAGTCAAACCCTTTTGAAACTATTAAATCAGTGTTTTTTATGAATCGAGCAGCATTAAAAATGGCTAACATTGATGCTGCAACCAATTTTATGTTTACCCGCATTGAGAAAAGTGTATGAATGCTATTGTATAAATTATTGTATTTTTAAATATAGTTCTTTTAGATTGATTTTCAGGATGAAAAAGGACCAATATACTTTGCAGATATCTGTGCCGGACCAGGAGGTTTTACAGAATATGTACTATGGAGAAAGAATTGGCTTTATAAAGGTTTTGGATTGACATTAAAATGTGATAATGATTTTAGAATAAGAGAGTCAAATTGCGCCAGTTCTGCCACGTTCCAAGCATTGTATGGAAAGAGTGGAGATGGTGATGTCTGCAATCCAGAGAATATTACTGACTTTGCAGAAAGAGTTAGGGAAGAGAGTGGTGGAGGTGTACATTTTATCATGGCAGATGGGGTAAAATCATTTAATTGCCATGAATTTTGCTTTAAAAATTTTTTTAAAGGGTTTTTCTGTTGATGGAAATGAAGCTATGCAAGAAATTTTATCTAGGAATATTTACATATGCCAATGTATGGTGGCTCTAAAAGTTTTAAAGCCAAATGGACATTTTGTAACTAAACTTTTTGATGTTTTCACCCTCTTTAGCGTCGGACTCTTGTACCTAATCCATTTATGCTTTGAAAAAGGTATGTTCTAATAGAGTAAGAATGAATACATTTTTTCAAACACCTAAATATTTTAGTTACCATTTTGAAACCAAAATCTTCGAGACCCGCCAATTCTGAAAGATACCTTATATGCAAAAGATTTAGAGAGAGTTCATGCACAAGTTGTGTGCGGGAGTACCTATGGAAAATTGTAAATCGGCTATGGGAGATGAGAGATGATAAAAATTACAATGTTTTGCAGCTAGTACCTCTTAAAGTGCTGCAAAGAGATTCAATTTTTTTTAAATATATCATGACTAGCAACAATGAGTAAAATTATTTAGATTATTCTTAAAGATCATAACAGACATATTATTTTCTAGAATTGCGTTGAATCAAATAAGAGCACTGAAAAAGTTAGCTTGCTTTTGCCGGAACCCAAGATTAATGGATGATAGGCAGTCAGAGCTGAGGAGCCAATGCTTGGAGTACTGGAAAATTCCAGATAATCCTAAAAAGCCTCAACCTAAGTTTACAATCCGTAAATTTTTCTCCAAGCATGACATTCCTTTCGGTAAAATTCTAAAACATAATTTAGTATTGATAACCCATATTCACATTGTCCCAAAAGTTAAATTTAATTAATTGATTTTCAAAACTCAAAAAGAACAATTACAATCCTCATACAGTTTCTCATAAAAAAAGTATCAGATTTTGAAAGGTTGGTTGGGTTTATACTAAACTTTATTTTATTATTTATTATTTTATTTCTTTTTTGCCTTTTTTTTGGGTAGATAATTTAAATTTGGCAACTTTTGAGACAAAATTTAAGAGTAGATACTGTTACAATAGGTTGCCCAACTGGTTTTTCTGAAAATGTTATATTAATTAGCTAATTAATTTTACAGGCTTTTTAATGAAAACTCCAACGTGCACATTTCAAGAGGAATTATTGGTAGCTGTTGTTCAAAATGTGAACGATTGGTACTATTGCTTAACTGGAAGCCAGAACAGTACTACCTTTTTCCTAGGTAAACTGCCCTACTATATATTTGTTGTTAATGTTTTTGGAAATTTTATTTTATTATTTTCTAATATATTAAATTTTACAGGTGATAATCGTTCAAACGTCTACAAATTTGTGGACCGTAATTGGAAATACATTCCGAACATTTTACTGACTCCGGGAACGTTGATATATGGGGACCAAGTTACTGAGCAGGTGGAAATGCATGATAAGCAAACGGAAAAGTTAAGTTTGCATGTGATTGACGCCCTGTTTTTGGGAAACGACAAATTGCAAGAATCCGGGTTTCATGAAAGGCATGAGCTGATAGATATATATTGTAAATCTGTCAACAAAGGGTCACAAGCTGGGAAGTCGGTGAAGATTCTACACAAGGAATTTCGAGAGTTGAAATATTTGCCATCCGACAATCGGCTCTCTGTGCTGGGTTACGGAAATCTATCAGAAGGATACCACATTAAATCAATCATGTTAATTAATGCGAAACAAAGTAAGTGATCCCAGGAAAAGTTTGACCTGACTGATAGGTTGTGTTTCAGAGTTTTCATTGGAATCTGTGTACCTGATAGAAATATCAGACGAAGATTCAACATTCAAATACTTAAGGGCAAAGATGGCAAGATAATCTTTTGGTGCTAATAAATTTTTTATGTTTATTAAGTTTTCGTTCGTGTCCTAATGGAGACATCTGAAACAAACTCAATAAAAAATAATTTGGAAATTTCAGGAAAACATTTTCATTAATTGGGTCATCTAAAAGTTTATTGACAACCACAAAAAAATATCAGTCTATCAACTAAAAAATGTCAGCTACAAGTTTGTTTGGGCTCGTAAGTATGCATGAAGTCTTAAAAACTGGAAGTGATCCTATGTAGGGTAACCGCAAACCTCTTTCCAAGCGTGTTTCAATCAGGGTAGCATTTATTTATCATATCTTATGGACCAGAATGCTCTCTAGCGAAATCTTAGAGTAACAATGCCAATTATTTTGATAACTATGATTCAGATCAAAACTACAGTCATGTTTAACTAATGCTGGAATTAAATCTGGACCCATTGTGAATTTAGGTTTAATTACTCTAACCAGCTCATATTCGGAGAACATCTTTGTGTTTATATTTTTAGAGTGGTGCAAGTTACTAATGCCATTAAAATTGTTGAAAAAACTCAAGTTTGAAAATGACTGTCGAAAACATAGTTGTTTCCAATAAACGCCAAAAACTTTTTTTAGGATCTTTTTTACTGTCATATTTAATATGCAGTTGAAGGCTGAATTGAAGCCCAAGTGGTAAAATCGGGCCTAGCCGTCGACTAATTTCGATTTTACTGCGGCCAAAACTACTTTTCTTTGATCTTCGTTATTATTAAAATACAACGAACAAAATCCATCTATAAACAAAATAAAGCTCTCCAAATGACCTCTATTTCCGGAAAATGTAGGTAAAAGTGAAGTACGGAATCAAAGGTTTTCCATTTCGTTTTTATAACTAATACATTATCTAACAAGTCTACTATATCCTCTGGAATAGGCGTTGATGATTTATTAAAATCTTCGGAAATACTATCACTTTCCGATTGGTGAATACTTAACCTAGCCCTATTGCATTTCAAACCACGTTTGGAAGCGTCAGATATTAAATAATGGTCATTTAGCAATCACTTGCAGAACAATCAAGACAATGCGATAAACCTTTGCTGCGGAGGCTCACAACCAAGTCCTATGGCTGAAAGGCTTAACGTCGGGACGCTGATCTGCTTCGGGAGTTCAGAATTCGTTGAAATTCCTGCAGTGAGCAGTCCGGTTGCGAGGGTGAAGTCAGTCGGTTTCATTCTGTTTTGAGAATCACTTCGCAACAACAAAGAACCGATAAGGGGCGAAATTGTTCATCTGTTCTCAGCGGCAATTAAATAACACGAAAAGGTTTATTTTCGAAATATTCATCTATATACAGCGTGTTTTCTAATTGAATGTCAATAATTATGGGGGCAATTTTTGGGTTCATATTAAAAAGAAAACTTCATATGAACACATTTCCTAAACTTTTCAGATACAGGATGGTAAAGTTTTCAAAAATAAAATAATTTTTTTTAATATCTATAATACCATTTTAGATATTTTAATGAAATTTGACACGCACGTAGATCAGGACCCATTATTTATCAAAATAAATAAGAACTAAAAGTTCAGATTTTCACGAAATTATATATTTTTACATGACAATTGTTTCGACAACACCGTGTCTTTATCAAATGTAATATTTCCAAACTACCTGAGACTATATATACCGAAAAATGACTATAAAACCTTAATTAAAGTTGTGGGAATTTAAGTTCAATAAAACAGAGGTATTTAAATCTAATTGATCGTTAAGCAATATATTTGAATGTCTCATTTTGTTAATCTCCATGGCTTCCAATAAATTTAATTTTCTACTTTTTGTGGCTGTATGTAAAATATCAAAATTGTCGTCAAAAATTTGTTTTTCTGTGTTTAAGTGTGTAGCATAATTAGAATTTAGACTATTGTTTTTAAACACTTTTTTATGTTCGTTAATGCGTTTCTTGAAGGATCTACCTCTTTGTCCAATATAAATTTTAGGACAAGATCCGCATTTCAACCTGTAGACACCTGATTTTTGAGATTTTGGACATTTCTTTTTATTGTTTTTTTTTTTTAATTTTCCTATTGTGTTGTTAGTTCTGAAAGCTATTTTTAAACCACATTTTGACAAATGTTTTGAAACTTTTTCACTAGGTTTTCCTATGTATGTAATTGTTTTAAATTGTTCGTGTTCTGTATTAGGTTTCGTATAAATAGAGTTTACTGTTGTCTGGATTTGTTTTTTATTTATTAATTTTATCTATAATAGACGGATTGTAGCCGTTGTTCAGTGCAATTTGTTTAATGATATTAAGTTCTTTGTTGTAATTTTCTGTTGAGAGTGGTGTATTAAGAAGTCTGTGTATAAAAGAGTGAAATGCAGCCATTTTGTGTGTGTATAGCGGTGATTTGAGCTGTTATATATGGCTGTGTCCGTGTGTGAAGATTTATGATAAATGGAAAAATCTAATTTGTTTTGCGTTTTCGTAATAGTTAAGTCTAAAAAATTAATAGAGTTATCCTGTTCAATCTCGATAGTGAATTTTATACGGTTATGTAATGAGTTAATGTAATTTAAAAAAGAATTCAATTGTCTGTCCATTCCAACAAAGCAAGCAAAGACATCATGCACGTATCTATACCACCACAGAAAACTTTTACTTAAAGGATGTTCCAGCATGATATTTTTCAAATTATCCATAAAAATCTCGGCTAACAAAAAACTAAGTGGGTTTCTCATAATCAAACCTTAGAGATGTAAATCTGCCCATTAAATTCAAAGAAAATTTGGTCTAAAGATACTATTAAGTAATCTAATAAATCTTGTTTCGGAGTTAGGGTGAAATCTACTAAATCTATCGCATCCATAGGTGGAATACTGGGAAATAAGTTTTGTACATCAAAAGACACTAGTGTTGCGTTAGAAGGGATTTTGATATCTTTAATTTTGTTGATTAATTCAAAAGAATTTTTTATTGCAAATTTTGGTTTAAAATCTGTGTGAAAATATTTACTAATGTTGTTGAGATTTTAACTGCTGAAGCAGTTACATAAGACACAACTAATCTAATGGGCTTATCTTGTTTATGTAATTTAACTAAAGAATATAATTTCGGCGGTTGTGGATTCATAATGGTCTTTGATATAACTCTTTAGGATAGTTTGTGATACATTGGAAAAGTTCTGGTATAGTCATAGCTATCGATCTCCCAGAATATATGTCAAAAACCAACAATTTTCTTAAAACCAAAACTTTTCCAATGTATCAAACACGATCCTACCGAGTTATATCAAAGACAAGTCAAGGTAGTAATTACTAACTCCACACTATTTAGTGACAAACACCAATATTTTTTAACAATTATGAGTCCACAACGTCCGAAATTATATTCTTTAATTAAACTACATAAACAAGATATGCCCATTAGACCAGTCGTGTCTTATGTAACAGCTCCAGCAGTTAAACTCTCAGCAAAATTAGTAAATATTTTAAAGTTCCACACAGATTTTAAACCAAAATTTGCAATAAAACATTCTTTTGAATTAATCAACAAAATTAAAGATATCAAAATCCCTTCTAACGCAACACCATTGTCTTTTATTTTCCTGTAGATAGATTTAGTAGATTTCACCCTAACTTCGAAACAAGTTAACCCATTGGTGAAACAAGATGTATTAGATTGCTTAATAGTATCTGTATACCAAAATTATTTTGAATTTAATGGATAGATTTACATCTCTAAGGTTTGATTATGGGAAACCCACTTAGTCCTTTGTTAGCCAAGATTTTTATGGATAATTTGTAAAATATCTTACTAGAACATCCTTTAAGTAAAAGTTTTCTATGGTGGTATAGATACATGCAAGATGTCTTTGCTTGCTTTGTTGGAATGGACAGAAAATTGAATTACATTAACTCATTACATAATCGTATAAATTTCACCATCTTGATTGAACAGGATAACTCTATTAATTTTTTTGACTTAACTATTACGAAAACGCAAAACAAGTTAGATTTTTCCATTTATCATAAACCTTCACACACGGGCACAGTCATAGATAACAGCTCAAATAACCCTTATACACACAAAATGGCTGCATTTAACTCTTTTATACACAGACTTCTTAATGCGCCACTCTCAACAGAAAATTACAACAAGCACTTTTACAATAGCACTGAACAACGGCTACAATCCGTCCATTATAGATAAAATTATAAATAAAAAACAAAACCAGACAACAGTAAACATACATAGGAGAACCCAGTGAAAAAGTTTCAAAACATTTGTCAAAATGTGGTTTAAAAATAGCTTTCAGAACTAACAACGCAATAGGAAAATTTTTAAAAAACAATAAAACGAAATGTCCAAAATCTCAAAAATCAGGTATCTACAGGTTGAAATGCGGATCTTATCCTAAAATATATATAGGACAAACAGGTAGATCCTTCAGAAAACCCATTAACGAACATAAAACAGCGTTTAAAAACAATAGTCTAGATTCTAATTATGCTACACACTTGAACGCAGAAAAATACATTTTTGACGACAATTTTGGTGTTTTACATACAGCCACAAAAAATAGAAAATTAGATTTATTGGAAGCCATGGAGATTAACAAAATGAGACAATGAAATGTATTGCCTAATTATCAATTAGATTTAATAACCTCTCCTTTATTGAACTTAAATTCTCACAACATTAATTAAGGTTTTATGGTCATTTTTCGGTATATATAGTAGCAGGTAGTTTGGGAATATTACATTTGATAAAGGCACGGTGTTGTCGAAACAATTGTCATGTAAAAATATATAATTTCGTGAAAATTTGAACTTTTATTTCTTATTTATTTTGATAAATAGATTTTCATCAAGTAAAAGCCACCTCAGTACAAGCCATTAATTAGTGTACCCCATTTTTTTTTTAATACAGTGGCGGGCTTACAGAATTTCACCTGTCTATTTTGGCAGTGATTGATGGTAAGCCATTGATTTCTCTGACAATAAAAATTATTCTTACAATCATTTCTAAAGCAATTTAATTTCTTAATTTTTTCGCTTAAAAAAATAAAAATCTCTTCTATGCATGGTTATAACAATATCGTTAATATGACAGCACACAGAGAATAGTTTTGGTTAGTTATTAATTGGTTGGTTATTATTTTATGCAGTTGTAGAATTTAAACATCAAGAACAATTTTCGGCAAATATTTGGGCTGAAATTGTTGGAAACTACTTAATTGGACCCTTTTTCCTGCAAGAAAGGCTAAATGGCTATAATTATCGCCGTTTTTTAGAAGAGAATTTGCCAACATTGCCCAGTACCATATTTACCATTATTATATTTAAATAGGAACAAAATGTGGTTCGTCATGCATAACGGCACGCCTGCTCACTTTAGTATTGCAGTAAAAGAATATTGAAATCGCACATTTACTAGCCGATGAGTAGGTCGCAGCGGACCTCAAACATGGCCCCCTAGGCCCGCAGATTTAAATAGTTTGAACCTTTTTCTATGCGGGCATCTTAAAAGTCTGGTTCATCGCGCCCCAGTTAACACTGCGGAAGAGCTGAAGGACTTTAAAGAGTGCGTGGCAATATAAGGAAAAGAGCTGAAGCATGTATCCTTCAACGTGAAGAATACTTTCTAACAACTTATCTTTTTTCTGTTTTTTTTTTTTTTCAAAAAGGTTACTAATTTATTAACAGACAATTTTGTAAAAAAATATTAATAGTAGCTAGTGTTTTTTTAAATAAGAATTTCAAACTGCCCCCCATTGGATAAGCAAGGGTTTAATCAATCTCTCTCTAGTTTGTGTTGGCGGCGAAACCAATCAGAGCCCAGATATTTTCCCACCCGTAAGAAAAGCAATGGCGTCACCATCTGCACTCTCTAGCGGTTCGAATGTAAACTAGTGTCCCCTCTTGGAATAAGATTTTCTTTAATAAGGTAACCCACCTAGTGAATATTGACCAAAACATTTATTTTAAAAACATAAAGTTCTGCGAATGTTACCCTCGCGGGTACAAACTGTACTTTTTACTATTGCACACAAGGACAAGGGAAATGAACACGAAAAGTATTGGATTTCTTTTTTCGGAACTGGAAGCTGCCTGACACCACCAATAATATCTGCAAAACAAAAACATGGTTGCAATTTTCATTAATAAAGTAAGATATTAGAAACCATATACTTTTTTTTAATTTACTAAGCCATCTACTGTGCGTTAACTTCATGCATATTACCGCATGCTTCTGTTTTAAGGTATCGTGAAATATTTGACTATTCATCTGGGAAAAGTTCATATTTCGAAAATATTATGTGTATGTGGCCCTGGTAGGTTTTCTTTGCTATTTTAATTTTATTTTTATTATTTAATATTTACAAAATAAATTTATCTATTGATATGTGGGCGGACTGGGTTTTCGAAAGAAAACAGTAAAGTTAATTACTTCCACTTTAATATCACAAAAATAAAGGTTCTTTATTTGACCACGGTACTGCACGTGAAAACGTTGTTGCCTCTTGGACACACCGGCTGAGACTAACTTTTTGGTCGGCCCGCGGTGTTGCCAAATACACCACACTCCTCCCCCCTAGATTTTCCTCTAGGTTGTGTAATCCTCCAAATATCGTGGAGGGCGCCTTGTTCTGGCCGGCCGGGAGTGAAGGGATAACGACCCTTGGAAGAATCTCTGAGGATTCCGCGAATCGCGAAACGTCGTAGTTCTGACTGTCTGAGACAGGTACGGTCTCTTCGGTGAGTGTACGCGGACGAATTTGATCGGTATGTCTACGTGTGATTTTACCATCGGGAGTTTTCACCTTGTAGCTGAGCGGTCCCGTTGATTCTATTACCGTTGACGGTAACCACCTTTGACCGGGAGCGTAAGACCTTACAAACACCGGATCATTCTCTTGGAAAGATCGAGAGGTTTCATTAGAAGAGTATTTGTCTTCTTGCTTGGCTGACATTTCTTTGGTGAAATCTAGTTGCATACGGTCTAAAAGCGTCGCTAACTTTCGTCCCATCCAGACTTCTGCTGGAGATCGACCTGTTACGCTGTGGGGTGTAATGTGCTGAGTTAGTAGGTATCTTGACAAAGCTAACTGGACCTTCTCGTTCCCCATTCTCTTGAGTGCATTTTTTACATTTTGCACCATACGTTCTGATTGTCCATTACTACTTGGATGGTAGGGAGCGACCAAAGCTTGACGAATCTGGTTTGTTTTGAGGAATTGTTGAAATTCTTCGGATGTAAAAGCTGTACCATTGTCGGAGACAATAACATATGGAATGCCATGTGTTGCAAAATTTCCCTCATGACTTTGATAGTTGCTGCACGTGTTCGTGACCAAACGAACTTCCAGCCATTTAGAGAATGAATCAATTACAATTAAAAATGATTTACCATTCATGGGGCCTGCAAAGTCCACGTGAAGTCGTGTCCAGGGTGCACGAGACCATTCCCATGGATGTACCGGAGCTTTTCTAGGCATATTTCGTGCTTCCTGGCACTCGGAGCAAGTTTTAATTTTATTTTCAATGTCACGGTCAAGGTTTGGCCACCAAACGTATGAGCGAGCAAGAGCCTTCATTTTTACCATGCCTGGGTGTCCAGAATGAAGAAGATCGATCACACTTTTCCTCCCTCCTGGAGGTGTTATGACCCTGGTTCCCCAAAGCAAACAATTTTGGTAACAACGTTCTGTCGTTGAAAGAAAGGCTGAAATTCGTCAGGGAATTTAGATCTTTCCATCGGCCAACCTTTCCATACCCATTGTAAAACTTTGGATAGAATTGGAGCCTTGGCTGTTTCACTGGCGATACGCTTAGCATCGACCACTCTTTCCGGGATGTTCTCAAACATCAAAACATCGCGGGTGCATTCGGTGGTTCTGGAGTGTTTAATTTCTGGGGTAAACGACTAAGCGCGTCGGCGTTGCCAATTCTTGAGCCTGGAACATGGTGTAGATCGTAGTCATATGCTGTGAGCATCAGAGTCCATCTTAACAATCTCGGAGAAAGGATTTCTGGGATTCCCTTCCTCGGGCTAAAAAATACCTAGGAGAGGTTTATGGCCTGTTCGGATGCAGAATTTTCGTCCATATAGGTAATCGTGGAACTTCTTAACTCCTACAATGATGGCGAGAGCTTCTTTGTCCAGCTGTGAGAAATTCCTTTCTGTTGAGGATAATGTGCGACTATGGTAGAGTTGTTTATGTTCGTCATAATGTCCTAGTATGGGCTCTGAAATTAGGATATTCTTTAGTAAGTTGAACGCTTTTTCATGTTCTGCATGCCGAGACGTCTTTATGTAGCAGATTATGCAATGGATTAGTAATCGTTGCTTTGTCTTTAAGAAAAACATGGTAGAAATTTATCAAACCGAGGAAAGCTTGCAATTCCCTTTTGTTGGTTGGCGCAGGCGCGTTAACAATTGCTTTCACCTTCTCTTTGGTCGGTCGAATTCCCTCTGCACTAATACTAAAACCTAAAAATTCTATAGATTTCGTGTGAAAAATGCATTTATCACGGCGTAGATTAAGTCCATCTTCTCGAAAACGGGTAAGTACTTCACGCACTTTACGGTCCAAATCTGTTTCGGAATGTCCAACTATGAGAATGTCGTCGTAATATGGAAGAACTCCTGGGATTCCGGTGAGTCTCATGTCCACGAAACGGAAAATTTGGGGTGCCATGGAGACACCAAATTGTAAGCGTTTGCTCCTAAAAGGTCCTTGATAATGGTCTGTGCGTCTGCAGCTTCTTGATCTACACTACACAGGTAAGCTTGAGCCATGTCTAGTTTTGCGAATATTTTACCACCTGCTAGAGCTGCTAATATATTTTGAACAGACGGAACTGGATAGGGGTCTGTACGTAACGCCTAGTTTATGGTACTTCCGTCACCATTGTCCTGGGCGACAACAACAATGGGAGTGGCCCGTTTTGGATGAGTCACTGGCTCCAGCACACCTTGATCGACAAGTCTATCCAATTCACGATCAATCTTGTCCTTTAAATCGAACGGTACCTTTCGGACTTTGAGAACAATAGGATTTATGTTCGGATCTAAGGAAAAACTTACGGGAGGCCCTTTGAATTTCCCTAGAGTTGACTCGAATACTTCCGGGTATTCCTTGACAAAGTCTGGGTTCGAATCGCTTATCTGATTTATTCCTGTAATAGTTAAACCTAGTCTTCCAAACCAGTTTCTTCCAAGCAGACTTGCTCGGTTGCCTTCAGTAACAATAAGTGGAAGTGTAGCACTTTTTTGTCCCCGTTGTACGTTCACGTAACACTCGCCAATTGTCGAAATTACATGGTTTCACCTTTGGAGAATTGTCCCTGAAAAGTTTTTGAAAGTTTGATTTGCCTATTATGGAATGTCCGGCGCCGAATCGATTTCCATTCTTATCGGTTTCTTATTCAGGAGGACGTCTACCAGCTATTTACCAGTGATGCTGTCCGATTTCACACTGTAAAGCGAAAAATGGTACACCTGGTCTTCCGAACTGTTCTCGTTTTGTGGCACGTTTTCGAAACTGCTTTCACTAGATTGTTGGTTCACTTTTAGTTTTTGTTTTGAATGTTTTTTCTTTGAGAAACATGCATGTTCTACGTGTCCTATTTTCCAGCAAAATTTGCACTTTGCGTTTTTGTAAACACACGAGTCTGGGGAGTGCTTTTCTTCGCAGCGAAAACACCTTTTGGAAACTCGCGAAACGCTTGTTTTCAGCTTCGAGGGATCTTTGTTTACCTTTTCGCGTGCGTTTACGTCATGCACATCAGCTGATTGTCCGCCGCCTTCCTTGATGATTGCAAGGCTGCGTGCTGCCACCTCGTAAGCAAGGCACATATCATGCGCTTTTTTGAAGGTAATGTTTTCTTCCGCTAGAAGTCGTCGTTGGAGCCCGTCATCGCGCACGCCGCATACGAGTCTATCACGCAACATAATCTCAAGGTTATCGAATTCACAACTTTCGGCCAACCGGCGTAGCTCTTTGATGTAGACGGAAATGGATTCCTCGGGGTGCTGGTCCCGCTGATAAAACTTGAATCGGGAAACGATCTCTGACGTACGAGGTGCGAAATGATCAGACAAGGCCTTGATTATTTCCTCGTAAGTCTTTTTCGTTACCTTCATTGGTGCTATGAGCGATCGAATTATATCGTAGGTCGCCGGTCCGCAGATGCTCAGAAATACGGCCTTTTTCTTTCCCGCGTCCGTTATGTCGTTAGCGGTCAAGTAAAAGTCGAGGCGTTCCTTGTAAGAGTCCCAGCTTTTCGAATCGTTAACGTTGAAATGTTCAATGTTTCCGAAGGACGCCATGTTAACTTTTTTCGGCTGGCGTGTCGCGCTTACGTACCGGGAAAAGTAACACGTTTCTTCATAGACTTTAGCGCGAATACTCGTGGTATCCCATCCTCGTCGCCAAAATGATATGTCGGCGGACTGGGTTTTCGAAAGAAAACAGTAAAGTTAATTACTTCCACTTTAATATCACAAAAATAAAGGTTCTTTATTTGACCACGGTACCGCACGTGAAAACGTTGTTGCCTCTTGGACACACCGGCTGAGACTAACTTTTTGGTCGCCCCGCGGTGTTGCCAAATACACCACATCTATCTTATTGATGATTTTGGTTTTCTTTGCTATTTTATTATTTGTTTTTATTATTTAATATTTTCAAAATTAATTTATCTATCTTATTGATGATTTTAAGATATCGCAGTCAACTTTACTATTTCATCAATTTCTTTTATTTATTGCTGATCCTTGAGGATAGTGTACATACTTTTTTTTTCGTAACTTATCTGTATCTACCCTTTAATCTCCGATCAACAAATGAAGTAAACTCGAAAGGCATCTTAACTAAAAAGTCATATACTTTAAAGCTCCTGCTACTACTACATGAAAGTGTGTTTCTATGGCAATCTCAACAACATTGAAATCTGGACACTTACACTAAATACTGTAATACTCTTCTCTGCTAACACTCTAGGAGACGCTATTTGAACCCCGTTCAAAGAAAAACTTCTACAGCCCAAATAACCTCTCTGAACCACACTTAAGCGCATCATTCTTTCACTGTCTTGCAGCCTTCAGATTAATATTCCGTACTAACTACGTATGCCATACACGAAACGTTCTCTTTTCTAATTTTTTTTCTATGCGCTACATTAACGAACAGTATCTGAACTTTTCTGTCTGTGTATTTTGTTAGCCATCTTAAAAAAATAAAAAAAAAGGTATGCGAACCTAGAGGATATTTTCCATATTTTTCACAAATGGTGACAACAATTAATGCAAGTATTATTTTTAATAATAATTCATCTTTCGCTATGACATTAAAACATCGATTTTTTAATTCTAACTACTCTCTTTGGTATATATCTGTTCTTTAACTAAATCCCCACCTTTTTGAAAAACCATCCTCTAAAAATAGTAAATTTTCTCTAATATAAAGTTATACGTTTTCCCCAATGTATGTGAATATTTTTGCTAGAGCATTTAGTTATTCAGTACATGTCCTAATCAATATTTTAAAAATATAATTCTAATGATACGTGTTTACGATTTGAAGATATCGAAACTTTTCCCAGTTTAATAAATGAGAGCTCACCACCAAAATACCAAACATCACAGTACAAACTATCGTACTACGCATCCTTGGACAAAATCAGGTTAGTCAGTGTCATTAATTCTACCTGCGATAACGAATAGCGTATTGTTAAGTAAGGTTTAATACGCAGAAAATTTAAGTAACATATAACTAACTCACTCACTAACATCATAAATTATTTTAAAAAATTAGAACAGTTGGAACTTACTGGAGTAACCAATTTAGCACCAAAAATGGAAATTTTCGAGACTCTACTAGGTGCCTATTTTGTGAATTATGTTCAAAACAGACACCCTTTGGGCCTACGAATTCAGCTACCACCTACTACTTTCAACACTATTAACAAAAAAAAATAGGTGACTTTTCTATAATACGTGCAAAGTTTATGTGAAACTGAGAGAAAGACAGAGTAATGCACAAATATGTTCCTAAACATATTTCCATAGAATTCCGTAAGAACTTACCTCCAAGTTTTCTCATAGTCAGTCAAACCATCAAATGGGAAATTTTAATCCAACATATGTAGTGGTGGAAATATATCAATAGCCTACGCTACCGATGGTACCCGACTGAAGTTTCTGCATCTTCTTTACCCCACATGCCGACTTAAAAAGATACTGGTCTACGTCTCAATATTCCTGATAAAAAAAAGAGAGATTCTATATTGCCATAAATATGTTTTTTCAAAATTTTACCAGAATGGTTCGTGATTCCTTATATATGCTGCGTTGGCAGCAATGTGGCGACGACTACGCTTAAACATTTCATATCTCGTGTCCCCATGACTGGTCTGTTTCATATATGAAAGCTCACCTCGCACCGCTTTGAACCTCCTTTAAAAAAACGAGGCAAGGCTTGTACTTATTATATCAAGTAATATGAGAAACTTATATTTTATGCCAAAACTTATTTCATCACCTCCAAAGGGGAGTAGGGGTTCCTAAAGTATGGTAGGTACATCTCTTTCAATTATTTTTTAATGAAAAAAAAAAGTGACATAATTACTCGACGGAACTCGATTCGGATCGTTAACGCGTCTCAAGATGGGGGTTTAGAGATGCTGAGGCCATTAAATTGAATTTCTGGGGTCGTTTCTGAATTTGTCCAACGTAGACTCCCAAGAGGATAGATCCGTGTAGAAGCCGCTAGAACGTTATTGCATAGCAAACGTTTGGACAAAAATCTGTGGGCAGAAGCTATTAACACTTCAGTTTTTGTGTTAAATAGAATTGGATGTAGTTCCATTCCGAACAAAACACCTTATGAGCTTTGGTTTGACAAAAAATGCGACATGAATATGTTTCATGAATTTGGTTCCAAAGTAGCAGTGCACATAATTAAAAACAAAAGAAAGAAATTGGATTCAAAGAGCAAACTTGGAATTTTGATAGGATATGGACAGACAACTAAAGGGTATCGAATTTTATTTCCACAAAGAGGGGAATTAGAAATCCACAGAGATGTAGTGTTTATACCGTATAGTGAGGAGGCTGACCGAAAAGAGAAGAAAAATGAAGTTAACGTAGTTTTGTTAGATTTGGACACAGACATAAACAGTGAAGATAAACCAATACAAGAATCAGAATTTGAAATAGACAAAGAGAATGCAGAAGAAGGAAAAGAGAATGAACAGTTGGAAAAGAGAAAAGTTAGAAGACCAGATTGGATGAGAGACTATGATGTGACCTTCTACACCGAAACATAAGAACCTATGATCTTCGAAGAAGCCATAACCAGTACAGATAGTGAAAAATGGAAGAATACGATGGAAAAAGAATTGGCAGTGCTTTGTGAAAACAATATGTGGACTGAAGTGCCTTGGCCCGTGAATGAGAACGTCATAGATAGTAAGTGGGTGTATAAAAAAAAAGGTGACCGAGAATATAAAGCAAGACTTGTTGCGCGCGGTTTTCAACAAAGAAGTGATCCTGAGTTGTATGACATATATGCTCCGGTAGCAAAGTTAACAACTTTCCGCATCTTACTGGTAGTGAGCAGCAAGATGGGTAGACCAATACACCAAATGGATGTGAGAAGTGCCTTTTTGTATGGAGATAGAAGAGCAGGTATTCATGGTGTTACCAGGTAAAAATAAAAGTAATAGTAATACAGTATGTAGGCTAAATAAGTCACTGTATGGTCTAAAAAAATCTCCAAAATGTTGGGACAAAAAATTTGACTCTTTCATGCGAAATCAAGGTTTTGACCGATCACAGAATGATTATTGTTTATACTTTAAATTGAATAAAAACAACAAATCATTTGTATTGTTATATGTTGATGATCTTTTAATATTATGTACAGATGACAGCGATAGATAGATTAAAGCTAGTTTTAAATGAAAATTTTCATTTGAAAGATTTAGGAGTTATTTCAAATTACTTAGGTATAGAAGTTAAACAGAGACTAAATGAGGGACTTACTGAATTAGAACAAAAAGAATATCTAAAAAATGTGTTAAATCGTTTTGGTATGTGTCGTGTTATTGTCTATAACATTTTAAAATAACATACGCCGAATATACGTTTTTAACACTTTCCACTAGTATGGCTACCATAGAACAGCGTCCCGCGCGAACCATGGAATCTCCCTGGCTGCATCGGTTGCCTGATGGCACATCCCCCTTTTTATAACAAAACTGGGGTTCGCAGACAAATAACTTAAACATAGTCGGATAAATATGCAGGCCTTTTAACGTCACGCTTTGGCCCAGCCGGTGTCGCAGTTTTATGCACTGTAATATCTTGCGTAACTTCAGTCTTTAGGTAGCGAACTTCACTTGAATCACTCTGAGGAAGAGCACCCCCTTCCATACTTGGATTTCCGTTAGTTTCTTTTGACACACTTGGATTAGATTCGCGATATTGCCACGACGAAAATGACGCACTACTTAGATTAGTATCCAACAAATTTTGTGGCAATCCAGTTTGGGTGTGTGGTAAATAATAGGGTGCTAAGATTAGGTGCCAACGATTTCGGCGGTATTGACCAAAGTCAGTTTCGACTACATAAGAACGCGGTTCACCATAAATCTCGATAACTTTGCCATATTTGCGAATATCGACCACCCACACTGAGTCGCCCACTTTGAGTGTGTCCATATCTTTAGCATTGTGTCGTTTATTATAATTCCTCTGTGATCTGTGTTTTAAAGACTTTTCTTTTTGCAAAAAATGCGATTGAGGACGTAACGGTTCATCTAATTTGCTCGACAAGATGGGAAGTGTTGACCGCAATTTTCGGTTCATAAGAAGTTCACAGGGTGAGAACCCATGTTCTAAAGGACTTGTCCTGTAAGCTAATAATGCTAGAAATATGTCATCATTTCTATTCTTTTTAATCAAACGCTTTGCCGTTTGAACAGCCCTCTCACCGCCCCATTGCTTTGAGAAAAATTGGGACTACAAGTAATGTGTGTAAAATCGTATTTATAGGAAAAATCTTTAAATTTTTTAGAAAATTGGCTACCGTTATCGGATCTTACAACTTCAGGAATACCATATCTGGAAAACAGCTCTTTCATTTTTGGAATAATAGCGTCCTCAGTTAAACTACTTAGCTCAAAGAATTCAAAGAACCGGGAATAATAATCTACAACTATCATATACCATTTTTCGATTTTATAAAAATCGACCGCGATTTTCTGCCATGGTCTACTTACAGTTTTATCTTTATAAAATGTTTCTTTTATGTTATGTCGGTGTTCAACACAATTTGGACAATTTTTTAAGAGATTTTCGATCTGTGTTGATAGACCTATCCACCAAACGCTCATTTTAGCACGTTCACGGCATTTAACAATACCCAAATGACCGGTGTGAATAAACTCGAGAACTTTTAATTGTAAGCTGCTCGGGATTACTATTCGTTTACCTTTTAATAACAAATTTTCACAATATGATATGTCATACCTATGCTCATAATACGGTAAAATTTCAATCGGTAATTTTGATTTGTCCGGCCAAGAGGTAATAGAATATTCCTTAAGTTTTCTACAGACAAAATCAATTTCTTGTTCTTGTTTTATTAAATTTAGAAAATAGTTTTTTATCGGTAGATTCCTTTTAACTGCTCTAACGAAAGTGTCTACTTC